CTCACTTTCCCCATAACTGTATATCGACCATAACGACTAGGACAACATTGACGATGATGACACATTCACTACAATATATAAGAGTTTTAGATACTAAATTTTTTAGTCTCTAAAAGTGAAAATTTTGTTGCAAAAGATATTTAGGGACTAATTTCTATTATCGTGAGGATAGTCGCTAAAAGGTCGTCCCGAAAAGTAAAAAACAAAGCTTTTAGCGACAAAATTTTGAAAATGTCACTAATAAATAGACTTTTAGGGACAAAATAATTTGGTCTTAAAATGGTTTATTTTTTAAGACAAAAAATTTGGTCCCAAAATGATAATAATTCATTACTAATGTCTAATTTTTGTTGCTAAAAATCTAATGACGACACTTTTCGCAACAAAAATATTTAGTCCCTAAAAAATAATTTTATCCCTAAATTTTGGTCTTTAAAACTGTCACACCTCCAAAATAATTACACAATACAACTCCAAACGACTACTACAAGTGATATAGGTGAAATAAGAAGCTTTCATTAATTGGAATTGATATACAAAAGGTGACACATGCGGTGTACATTATAAACAGTTTATCCTGAATCTACAGCATATGTTACAAGTGGTAACAAAGAATGAAAGCTAAACAGGTATGTATCTAAAGACTTACATCTTTCCAAGACTTTGCTTGGTTACAACAAAATGAGTTAGAAGCTCAATACACATAAAGCCCTAGGCTTGAAAATGAAGTAAATACAAAATGAACAAAAGTGAGCTTCAGCTCCACAGTCCTCCCAGTGTAAAGCCCTCAAATTTGTACAATAAATATAACCCAAAGCATACATAATTGGTAACATAAATCAGAGTAAATAGTCCTTTCATTTCATGAAGTTAATGATACAAAAGAGTTTAACATAAATAAATGCTCTATCGGCTTACACATTTCCAAGCCTCGACTTGGTTACAACAAAAAAGAGACTAGCTCTTACAAATAAGCCCTTAGCTATACACAAAAAAAAAAAAAAAACAAAAAACAAAAAACAAAAACAAAACAAAACAAGAAGCTCGTGCTTCCAAAAGTCCCTCCCAGCTATTGTCTTGGCGGAGGCATGCCCTCAATACCTGAAAATGTTATCCCCAAATAGGGTAAGCCACAGCCCAGTAGGGATCATCTAACACGGTATATGAAACTTAGCAAAGGTATAAGTACACTATGCGTACACAATGTCAGTGATAGAACAACCACACTTTGTATAATCATAAGATACCAAATTCAATTCTTAATCCATTTCCATTCCATTCATTTCATTACAAGAGCCAATTTCATCATTTCTTTAACAATCCAAATGAGACTACAACTCATTAGTTCTACAATCACATCATTAACGTATAAACACTTCAAACTTTCCTTTCACGGATATTTCATCTGCGAGAAATCGTCAAACAGGACCCATGTAAACGTAGGCTATACAAGCACTACAATTTGCCATTTTATGGATATTTCATTCACAGAATTCGGCACCCATGTATAATTTCGGGACTTTCACCCAGAACACTCCGGCCAACTTAATTATAATGGAGTCCATCCCTTTCTCCTCCTAAACAATCATTCATACATATGCAATGTATTTACACATATAATCATACGTAGAGCACATCTCCTTTCCACTTCCAAACAATCATACATATACAATGTATATAAACATAGTCATATTCAATGACAACCAACCATGGACTAGTTTTAGTTCACCTAATCCACATGCAATTTCTACAACAAGTAAAGCTATCCTCCACCGATAGCCCAATATAGATATTTCTAAACAGATATACAATTCCATGACAGGTAATTTATTTAAAATTTCCAAAGATATGAAATATTACATGCTCAATTCCACCATCTATTCCATCACTTGCTCAATTTCATGTTTACCCCACCCATTTCAATTATTTATATAAAATAATCATGATAGTCATTTTAGGGCAAAATTTTTCTTTTTCCAAATATCAACCCAAGCATCAAACTCAACCATTTTGGCCCAACATAATCTCATTTTCACAGCTCATATTCATTTATTTCATATTCAACAACAATCCCTCTTTCCATATCATAACCAAACCCTAGGTTTGCTTGAAATACCCTCAAATCACATCATTGTTACACAATAGACAAATAACTAAGCTAAATATCATATGAAGGTGTAGAAAAGATCCCTACCTCAAAGGAAGAAGATGAGCCAAGCAAGAGTGAAACTCCAAGAACACCAAAACCTACTTTTATTCGGATCAAAATGTAGATCTTGAGATGCTCTAGCTTTTTCTCAAAGGCATAAGGGTGAAAAGATCGACGGATCTAGATGAAATCTAAGAGAGAAGGTAAGTTTTAGAGAGAGAATGTGTAGATCTAGGTTTTTAGAAGGTTTTAGCGAGAGAGAGAGAAATGAAAAAGTGATTCAAAACATCATCTTCACAGACTGTTATACACGCAGTCCGTTCGAGCATGGAAAGTAATGCTCGAGCGTCAGACATAAAGATTCGCTCGAGCGTGAAAAGTGGCGCTCGAGCGTAGAATGCATATCTCCAGAAGTTTTGCAGACGAATGGCACCGCTCGAGCGTGAGACTGGGCACTCGAGCGTCCAATGCACTCTCCCAGTATTTGCAGGTTTGTAAAAAAAAATACTGAAGGTTGGCAAGTCCTGCTAGAGCGCAAAAACGGACACTCAAGCGGAGAGGCAAAATTTGTGAAGCCCGCTCGAGCGCAAGAATGCCTGCTTGAACAGAAGAGCCAAAATCTGGACATCACAGGTTTTGGAAATACAAGCAACCAACTTGTTCCAAAAGCACAATTACAACCCGATAACCAAAATAAAAGGGAGACAGGGGGAAATAAGATATGAATAACCATTCTAAACCATATCAACCCGAGTCCGGAATTCAATAAGTAATGGGGTCAAAACCGAAATCGCTATAACTTCTCCCCCTTAAGGAATTGTGTCCCCGAAATTTTATTCAAATTCAAAATCATAGTTAAACCATGTTATTCTTACAAATTCATCACCATGAATCATTCTCTGGTCATCCATTCTCATCGACTCGATTCACAAGTCCCAAATAAAAATGAAATTCACAATTTCCTAAAACATTTGCAATGTTTAATCCAAGGTCTAGGTTTTCAAGATTTTACATAGCATATACAATGCTTTCCAAAAGTGATACAACACATATGATATTCCATATTCTCAAAACATATACAATGTTTAAAATAAACTCATGTTTTCAAAATGTAAACAACATATACAATGTTTTCACATTTTACCGATCATAATCACAATATAATACATGTTCAAACATCAACAAATAAGTCTGGATACTTTTCTCAAACCTCCAATTCACGTTCCAAAGTTGCTTCCTCAACCCCGTGATGTTTCCACAACACTTTAACCAAGGGAATTGTCTTGCGTCGCAAGACTTGGTCCCATCTATCCAAGACTCTTGTCGGTCTCTCCTTATACGAGGTATCCCCATCTATCTCTAAGTTAGTCCAATCCAACACATGTGATAGATTCGGCTCATACTTCCGAAGCATACTAATATGAAACACGTCATGCACTCCAGAAAGTCATGGTGGTAACACCAAATGATAAGCAACCTCTCCGACTCGCTCAAGGATCTCAAAAGGCCTAATGAATCGAGGAGACAACTTCCCACTCTTCCCAAATCTCATCAAACCTCTCCTAGGTGATATCTCCAGTCTGAGGATGATACGTAGTGTTAAAGGTCAATCTCGTGCCCAAGGCACTCTGTAGGCTCTGCCATAACTGAGCCGTGAAACGCAGATCTCTATCAGAAACAATCGTCATTAGGACCCCGTACAACCTCACTATGTCCCTAATATAAAGTTCAGTAAGATAATCCATCGAGTCACTTACGCGCATAGGTATAAAGTGTGTTGGCTTAGTCAACCGGTCCACTATCACCCAAATAGCATCACTACCCCGTTGAGTCCTAGGAAGGCCCACAACAAAATCCATCGTGATATGCTCCTACTTCCACTCGGCTATGAGCAAGGGTTGCAACAAACTCGTTGGCCTCTGATATTCGGCTTTCACTTGCTGACAAGTAAGGCACTTTGACACAAACACGGCCACATCCTTCTTCATTCCCCTCCACCAAAATTGGCGACAAAGGTCATGATACATCTTTGTGCCTCTCAGATGCACCGTAAGGCATGAATGGTGAAACTCTCGGAGTACTTCCTCTCGACAAGACTCCGACACGAAAAGATGATCAAGGTATCTAACACTCGAGTTAGAGTACACGTTCAAACCCTTCTTTACCTTCTTATTAGAGATCTTCTCCCAAAGGGATTCTACCTCAAGGTCACCTCTGTGTGCTTCCATCACTCGGTTCACAAGTGTAGGTCGTGCAACAATCGAAAACAAGGCCGCAGACTCAACAGACTCACCGAGATGCAAGTCAAACTCCCCAATAGCACCCAATATCTCCCATTCCCGGATGGCAATACAAGCTACAGTGCTAATTGACTTCCTACTCAAGGCATTGGCCACAACATTGACCTTTTCCGAATGATAATGTAGCTTGAGAGGGTGATTTATGATCTGGAGTTGGGCCGAGATATCGACCGAGCAGGTTGAAAGCCCAGCAGTGCATTGGGTCGAGATGATCGACTGTTCGCCCAGAGAAGGGCTGCCAGAACTTGGGCCGGGCAGAGTTCGAGCTGTGTGTGCCACCCCGGACCGGACAGAAACTGCTCGGCAAGGCAATTCCAATATTCCAGTTCTCACTGAGACGCATTGATAAAGTAATATCCGATAAGTAAATCATTCCCATAGAAGTAGTTTCTTACAAAATATGGAAAACAATGCTCCACAAAAGGTTATAAGCCCTTTACATCATTCCACCTTTTTCTATACAAAACTGCATATCAAGCATGATTGCATTAAAGAGCACAAAAAAGCAATCAACATTGCTTGTCTGCTTGGATATGATCACTTAACTGACATTACTCTGCACAGATTGTTAATAGCAACCCATAATGATCGCTAGGCAACACAGGGAGCATCAATTTTTGCAATTCCTTTTTCACTTTCTTCTCCTTGCAATATGACAGACCTGGTATGGGCTCCATGCCAATCATGTCTATTCTTCTTATCTTGAAATCACGCAAATTGCATACAAATCGATCCAGTCGCTTTTGCAGAGTCCGATTACCAGAAAGCATCTGGTTCGATTTGGTATCATATGTCCATCCATTTTCTCCGGGCTTTAACTGCACCCAGGCATCAACCCATCCATCGAGCAAAGGAAATTGACCATCCAAATCGTCATCCCAATTCATGTCACCCCAAAAAATCACGTTTACATTTTTTTTAAGAAAGGTCAACGCTTCCTTTGCCTGAGCAACACGTTCCTTGCTGAACGACTGATCCCAATTGCGAGGGCCAGGACCAGGACCTTTAAGATGGCTAGTGGCAACAACCAATGGCATGTCTGCATGAACTTCAACCTCAGCGACACAAAGTTCTCTTCCCATTATGGAATTACTGAATGGTTTACAGCTGTATGATTTTACTGGCAGTTTGCTTAACTGCAAGTTATTTGGTAGGGACATCAGGTCTTAAATCACCATTACTACAACAACTCATCCAACAATGGAAGCAACTATGCCAAGGTAAAAAAATATAAATATCTAAGAAATATTGCCAAAAAAAATTTAAAATTGACTGGCCTTGCAAAATTTTGAAGAGCAAGCTACTGGTCAGACTCAAAATGTCAAAAATTATATTCCAATAACGCAACTGGCTGATCTATTCTAACATTTTTATAATTGATCAACTAGATGCATACAATTACGTGGATGGGTCAATTTCCCTACCAGTGGTGTATGACTTGAAGTTGGCTTTTCCCACATGTTGATAGCAATCACGCAGACCTCTCAAGATTCAGAGGATTGTTTGTCAATGAAAATCGAGCTCAAGATTCAGAGGATTGTTTGTCGATGAAAATCGAGCTATGTGACCAAATAATATAATAGTAATGGGACTGTCAAGTTCAGAACGAAAGTGAATACATCAGAACAGAGTTATGCACAATGCTGCCAAATGATGCTGCCTTATGGTGAACCAAAGTGAACTCAAAATTGAAAACAAAATTAAAAAAAATTCTTATTATCTCAATTGGTGAGCTGTTTAAGATGAACAAAAATAGCATAGACGAGCATCAGCCTTTGTCAAATTAGAGATGGACAACAGAAAAAGGAACTCCACCAGTTCTCTCAATGAAGTCATTTGCAAAATTTTCTTTAGCAGAGAAATGCTTAGTCAAAATATATACTTCGGCAACTTTGGCACAGAGCTCAAAAACATAGGTGATTCAAACAAGAATTACAAAAGCAAGTTCAAACTAATAAAGAGTAACTACAAGACAAGATGAAGAATATAGAATTTGGTTGCCAATGCTTCCTCTGATTGCTCATGGTAACCAACCAACTAGTTCTTTGATCAAAGAGCTTCAATACCTCACTCAGCCCTCCAAATAATCATTCTCTCTGAAAGAACATCAGAGGAAATCCATTTCTGGTATGGCAAATGAGAATGTGAATTCAATCACCAAGGATCTTAATGGGATTTCAATCCCTCCCTATCTAATCAAGTACCTGACATTAAGACCAAATATAGTCAATTTAGACTGGTTCAATTAATTTAATTGGTTTTTCCTATTTTTTTATATCTCCATTAGTGATTTGATTGGACTGACTAGATAAGGGAGATTAGAATCTATCGGACTTGAATCCTGGGACTGTGAATTCCCTGGACTATTTGGTTGGATTAGATATGTATCTCATGTTTGTTTTCTCACAGATGTCTAAAAAAGATTATTTTTAGTAAATCCAATGTTTGGTTGGATGGACTGGATAAGAATAAATGTTCAAAAGCCTATTTTATCATTTTTCAATTGTTTACTCAGTAACAACAATATTAGATATATCTTTAATATTTTATTTATTTTTAGCTAGATTAAACAAAATTTATTTTATTTTATTATTTACACAATTAAATAAATTTATTTTTTAAAAATAAATAAATTTATTTTTTAAAAATAAATAAATTTATTTTTTAAAAATAAGATGATCTATGAACCGATAGGACAAAAGATCAATAAATGGAAATAAAAGACCAACAACACCTCCTCCCTATCATGGAGTTACCTCAAGGGAAGTGATAGGCATTGCTTTTTGAATCATTAACATCACTAAAGAGTATGTAATGATTCAAGAATCAATGGGTTCAATATAACGTCTGATTGAATCCAATTCAATTTTATTACCCTTTTTTACCACTTTTATTCCAATTTTGACCTCTTTTTACATTACATTGCCATTCTTTATTCATTTTTGTCCAAAAGCGATGACTACGTCCACTAAGTGCAAAAAATGACAAAGAGAAGTATCCAACAAGAAGTTGTGTTTAGCATGAGAGAGATGTAATGCCTTGGTAATGAATTCCCAAAGAGTTAAACCATTAAGCATGGAAAGTTTCTTTCTCAAGCTTTGAGCAACAATTTAGTGTTGGATACACCTCTTAATCAAAGGAAAAAAGAAAGGAGGGAGGCTGTATAGAAGATTATGCAAATGTGATGATCATAAGTATGAGTATTTATACAAAAATAATGAACCCAAACCTTGCACCCCCTTTGAACCAAAACCTATTTTTTTCTAGCCTAACCACCTAGAGACCTGCTGGCCAAAAAGTGGCCAGTAGATATTTTTATTGGCTGGCCAGCCAATTTTTATTGGCCGGCCGGTCATGTCCAGCGGCCAGTAGATATTTTGCTGCCACCTGTCCCCGCATGTGCATGCCTTGCACTGGCTGGCTCAATACAGATATTTCCAACAGGAGAACCTGTTTTTCTATAAATATTTGACCATCCCTTATGGTTTTAAGTTAGAAAAATTTGCCAATAGCCAAAAACTTGTCAAACACTCTCCCTCTCTATCTTGCAATATACATACAGTACACATACACTTCCTAAACCAAAATTTTGAGGCTCTTTGCTGAGATTATTGAGCCAAAATTTTAGCTCTTGAAGGTGATCACTTTGTGGTTTATGAACCAAAGAACGTCCTCTCTTCAAGAGGTGTAACTTTTGCCATCTTTTCTCTTATTTGTACTACTCTTTTCTCCTCTTTTTCACACTATTTTGGACTGGTTTTAAGGGTTGAAACTTGTGATTTAAAAGCTACCAAAGGTGGAGGGGTTAGCCACCCTTTCTTGAACCTTATTCCATAGCTTATATCCTTGTATTTCCCACTTGTTTCTTTACTTTTAGCTACTGATTTTCAGAGTTTTCATAGACTAAAACATGTGATTTTAAAGTCTCAAAAGTGGAGGGGTTGGCCACCTTTCCTTAAGCTTGTTTACTAACTTTATTCTCTTCCTTTTTTGATTTACTTTTCCTAGCTTTTCAACATAATTCCAACACTGCTTTTGCTATTTTGGGGCTGTTTTAATTGTTTATTTAATTTATTCCTTGAATGCTATACTTGTGGTGTTGTAAAGTCCTCATGGATTTAGGGGTTTATGCCTTAGACACCAATTCATTTGAGTTGATAGCTTTTCATCATTATTTTTGTATAAATACTCGTACTTATGATCATCACATTTGCATAATCTTCTATGCAACCTCCCTCCTTTCTTTTTTCCTTTGATTAAGAGGTGTATCCGACACTAAATTGTTGCTCAAAGCTTGAGAAAGAAACTTTCCATGCTTAATGGTTTAACTCTTTGGGAATTCATTACCAAGGCATTACATCTCTCTCATGCTAAACACAACTTCTTGTTGGATACTTCTCTTTGTCATTTTTTGCACTTAGTGGACGTAGTCATCGCTTTTGGAAAAAAAAATGAATAAGGAATGGCAAGGTAATGTAAAAAGAGGTTAAAATTGGAATAAAAGTGGTAAAAAAGGGTAATAAAATTGAATTGGATTCAATCAGACGTTATATTGAACCCATTGATTCTTGAATCATTACATACTCTTTAGTGATGTTAATGATTCAAAAAGCAATGCCTATCACTTCCCTTGAGGTAACTCCATGATAGGGAGGAGGTGTTGTTGGTCTTTTATTTCCATTTATTGATCTTTTGTCCTATCGGTTCATAGATCATCATGCAACAACTTTACGACAATTGATGGTTTGTGAATCGAGTCTACTCCTCCCTGGATCAGTTTCATGATAGAGAAAGGCAAAAAGGATAAACATCCCCTGAAAATACTCTGTTTTTGCTCTGTTTCAATTTTATGGCAGTAGGGCAGTACCCAAAAAATAGTGGCCGGCCAGCCACCTTTTTGTCCGGCCAACCATTTCTCGAAGTCGGCCATCCACCTTCGTTTATGCAAGCAGTGGCATTTTCATGGCAGAACAGAGCAAAAGCTGAGGCAAAAATAAAATAATTTTTTGACTGCGAACAGAATAGATTCTGGTAGCAAAATAAAGAGGTTTCCTGAAGGATGTTCTCAGTTGTACGCTTATGGCTCCTCACTTCCTGTCCCATTAATTTAGTGCTTTAATATTAGTGTGTTGTAATTAATTAGTTAGCTTAATTTAGATTTGTAATAGTTAATTTAGCTTATTCATTTATTTGGTGTTGTAATAATTAGCAAAATAGGACATTCATTTAGACCTTCTTGTATGAGGGTATACTTGTAATATTGTGTATGTCTTCCAACCCCCATTTTTTCTACTTTTTACTTACTTGCTTATGATGGTTGCATATAGCATCATATTTTGGTTTCATATCCTTGCCATGCTTAAATATCCATTTTTGCATGCATCGGGTTTGGTTTATCATTCCAATATTATTGTTATTTCATACTTACTTGAATACGTACGCGATCGCATACCTTGAGTTACGCCATATGTCATGTTAATAAACCGAATCCTAGTAGTTGCATTAGTCACTTGCATATTAGAACATGTATTTTTCTAACTATTGTCTCCTATTTTTGCTTGCCTCGATTAAGTACTAGGTGAGCATTTTTTCTTTAATATGTTGCATGAGTGTTTGTGTTGCCATATCATGAGTATGACCATGAGACTAAGTGCTTATTTGATATATCTCTTGAATACCTGTGGATGAAGGCTAATTCGCTTGAATTGGGATGATTTAAGTAATGTACATATGAGCTCACTTTTTTAAGTAGCATAAATTCAAAACTCTTTTCAAACAAAACATGAAATCAAAGCATTCTAAAGTGGGTGAATAGTCTATATTTATGTGCCTTACGTAGTAAGTTAGCATTAATAATCGGACAAGAGCATCTAATGTACATAAAAATCACATCATGATTAGTAGAGGCCAATCTTTGATTGGGTGAGTGGAGTGCTTAATTCATGACCTTCCCCTCTCATACCTAAGTTCCTCAGCCGAGACACTTTGGTTATGACGGACAAGTGGCCTTTGGCACGAGTCATGGGTTTCCTAAATTTTTCAAAAATATTTAGGTGGCGATTCTAAAATCTGGCAATGCAGT